AAACCGCAAATAGATATCAATTAAATGAGAATCGCATCGAAACGACTGTCTGTGAGTCAAATGGTGTTTAATCATTGACTTATTGATTATTTACATAAATAGTTAACATAAGTGAGTATTTCGATTAAGCCGACAGTAAAATGAATATTAATCATATGTAACATAACATTAAAAGCATATAAAATAATGCGAGAGAGACTAGGATTATACATAAAATCTTTCTAAACAAATCGCAAATAAATATATTTATAAATTAAATATTTTATATAAGAGTAGAAAATAAAAACATTTCAATTGTTTGGCATTTGATTCTAACTTTTTAGTTTTAAGTAATCAAAAAAAATTGTGCTATAATTACGAACAAAGTTTGTCTCAATTGATTGTACTATTATTTCCATTGAATCATATGTAAAGCACTGATTAGAAAGAGTTTGGTTTCCATACAATGGTATTTCGATATAACCCGCAAATTCTTGCACAGAATATTCAGTTATATCGTGTGTATGTGTATGTTTGGCACAAATTATACAGTATATAAACTAAACTCACGAAAGTATAAATAAAATTAATTTACATAATCATACGAATCGAGAAAAGAAGTAAATAACTGTAAATAAAAATTAAATACAATAAAATTAACTGAAAAATAAAATGAATGGCAATCGCAGAGTATAAGGGATGAGATCGCAAGCAATATCACAGAGTATTGCCGGAGAGAATCGGGTGATTGATAGTCACGCAAATCCGTGTGTTTTTCAATGTCTTAAATACAATGCTTTTAAAATATGGCACTAATTGTGGTAAATGCGGGTCAAAAGCCACCCATAAAAATCAATTTAGCTAATCAGTTGTGCCGTCGCATGTGTCGGTGCCGGTGCCGATACACGGGTAGAGCTGTTCGATGTTTCTGAGGCTTCTCCACAGGGATTATCTGCTCGTCTTCGTTGGCGTCCAACGCGGAGTACGAGACGGCGAACCCCTTGTTGTGAATCGTGTCGTCCGTTCGGAACCGAAGCAGCAGTGCTTCCCCTGTGGACAGGAAGTCCGGAGGTATCTATGGGTGCAATAAAATAGCGATTAAAACCATAGCGTAAGCCGTCAATCAAATCGATCCCTACTTTGTTTCCGCAATAACGGCCCAAATTGTGCGCCGAGTCGTCGTA